AAATGAAGCTCCACGGAAAGAGGACTCCAGCTCTCGGAGTGAAGTGGTACCAGGACACTGCTGCCACCCTCCGATGTATTTTAAAGCATACTGGGGTGTGGAAGGGTGGGGGAGAAACAGCAAAAAAACGTCATTTTTATATAACAAGTCTATTAGCCAAAAGAGCTTGTCCATGCAAATGAGCAGAAAGTCCCCAAGAGACATTCAGGTGGAATGGATTATTGTACTTTTCCTTGAGTCCAGAAAGTTGCCAGTGACAGCATGGCACCTGCTAACGGAGGGACAAAGTGTGTTTGGGACAAACAGGAAGTAGTGCCTAGCCAGAAGCTTGCCCTGACCTGGTTATAAATCTGATTATAAAAGAAAGCAGTCGGCAAAAAATTTGCATATCCGATAGGCTTCACTATTAAAGTTTACACAGCGTGGAGTAACCGGCCAGGCTGGCTGGCTACCCAGGTCACATGATGATGTAGAAACATGAAACTCGTCTCTGTGCCCCAGCGAGTTTTACTTCTCCCTAGCGCAGGGGTGTTTGCCAGCAGCCTGAGCGCTCGGCAGTCAGACCCCAGCGGCTGGAAGCCCTGAAGCCCAAGCTGACCATGCTGCTCCGTCAGCGGGGCAGGGACTGCTGACCTGACCCCAGACAGCCATTCGAATCTCTGCCGAGTACCGAAAAGAATGGACAAGCTGAATAAGATCACGGTCCCCGCCAGTCAAAAGTTGAGGTAAGATTTTCTCCATCCGAGATGTAGCCTTCTCCTCCTTCCTGCTTTCCCAGCGCTCTCACCGCGTCTCAGAAATACTGGAATCCTGGCCTCCTTTCCAGTTCCCAGCACAGCCGTGGGTGGCTGGGTGGCTCGAGGGAAGTGCACTGAGTTTTGAAAGGAATGTGTCAGAACAAGCGGGACTGCTCTGGTTGGCCCCTGCCAGTGATAAGATGAAATGCAAAAACCTGGAGAGACACTGATATGGAAAAGGCAAAGGCTGAAATCCTGCAAGGTCATTTTCCAGTCTGAATACTGCACCCTTTGTCTACGAGCTTGTGTCTAAGCTGGGAATCACACCCATTATATTGTGGATCGGTATTTCATTTTAAGGCTATCTGTAATCACTGGTGTTCGCTGTAGCTTTAGTGTCTCATTTATTTTGCAGGTGTATATTATAAGCTTATGGGGTGGCTATGGTCTTCCCAACACCCTTAAGTTCTTGTAACGATAATCTATAAAAAGCCACTTAGAATGAACCAGAAGAGGCCTAAGGAGGATGAGTGAAGGCACGATGGAAAAGGGGACTTCCTAAATTTTGATCCTGAAGGTCTTTTTGTCTCATTGTAAAGGCATCTGGATTTGGGAGCTTGGACTTTTCAAATGTTCAGGAGTGTTTCAGATGCCAGCCGCTTATCAGAACATTGCCAATGTATCACGTGTAGCCGATCACGAGTCAGAAATAATGAGGAGCTGTAGAATTGGAGTTTTCAAGGCAAAATGCAAGAACGTTAGCCTGGACTTGGCAGAGGGACAGCCCTTCACCGTTAGAACGCAGGTCTTCCACCTAGCAGGCGCTTGATCACTGGGGGGTTGAAATGAGCGCTGATCTGGGGGCCACGGGCACCGTCGGCTATGGTCTGCCATTTTGAAAGTGTGTCCCCGAGCGCGGCTGTGTGATGAGCTGTGACAGGGGACAAGAAGACCAAAGTCTTGTTCTTGGTCTCGAGTTACTACACTCTCCTGGGAGTGGAGGTGGGACAACGGGAACAGGAAGTGGCTGAGTGAGTGTGAGAAGAGGACTGGAAAGCTGGAGGAGGTTTCATGGGTAAGACACGTTAAGAGCTGGGCCTGAGAGGCAGGTAAGGTGAAAGCGGCTGGAGGCTGGAGGAAGGCTCGTGCGCTGGGAGGGAGGAAACAGAGCAGCTACGCTCAGAGCTGGACAGGAGCACAGCGCGTCTGTGGGGTGCTCAGAGAGTTCTTTTCCTGCTCCACGGAGGCTGCAGAGCGGTGCATGTGAGGACAGAGGGTGTTGTGGGGGGCCAGAGATTCACTGAGTTTCTGATGGTAGCATTTTTGCATAAAAGCAAAGGAAAATCATGGCTAAGAATCAACTTACCAGCCCGCAGATAAGCTCCTACTCGCAGACAAACGTGCGTCTTATACCATCTTGCTGACTGCCAGATGCTTCCAAACGAACAGTGAAAAACCCACGCTCACTCACCTCCGGGGTCACACACCATAGCCAGCTCACTTGTTTCAATTCAGCTGCTGCCGAAACCCTCGGGGTGATTACTCACTCCCAGCTGTGTCCATTTGGGAACCTCCTTCTCCTTCATCTGAAGAATCTCTGTTTCCTCCCTATCCTATCTGCCCTCTTCTCTTGGTTACTGCTTTTGCTCTGTTCCTGGTTACCCTTCTTCCTCCAGGCTCTTTTCAGCCCTGGGAATATGACCCCTGGATCAGGGTCATCTCTTTTACCCCGCTTGATGAACACTCACTCACTATTTGTGTGGCTAAAAACGTGAGCAAATTCTCATATGCCCAAGAGTATAAGCATAGCTGTCCACTATCCTATCATCGGGTGTCGACTGAGTTCGACGACCTTCTGAACTGGTCAGGAGAGAGGTGCGAATCACAGGGTGCAGGCCATTCCATTGATGTAGTCCTCGCCTCCCACCTAATTGCAGAAAAAAATGAAAGATGGTGCTTCAAGTCTATTGTGTTTACAATTCCATTTCCTTGAAAAGTTCCACATCGACTGTGTACATTTTACCAACACAGGCCAATCCTGTAAAGACAACTGGGTGACCAAGTGGGAAGAAAAGCAGTTATTTTTGTCTAAGCCGATGAGTGTAGTGTATTATTACCCATGGTATAATTTTCGTTTTCTGTCCTGTAATTTAGGGTTGTATATGACCTATCAGCCACTCTGTGTTCAAGCTGGACTTCACCCCTGGGAGAGGGATCGTAGAACCATCTACCTCTGCTTGACTTTCCTTGTTTAAATTCCCACTTGTATTTCCTCGGGGATGTCTGAGGCTTAGCATCGCTCTGGGTTATGGAATATATCTGAAACGGGCCTCTGGAAACCGCTTGCGTATTGAGGAGAGGCCCTTTGTCAGGCCTGTCTGTCTCTTCTTCTCTTT